TAATTCAAAAATTATAATCTTTAAGAAAACTCCATCCAATGTCTCTGTCTCATATTCAGCTCTTTTTGATCTACCAGGTACTTGAGACTTTTATGGTCGCTCATGACCCTGAACTCTGTTCCATAAAGATAATGACGCCAGATCTTTAACGTAAAGACCACCGCAGCCAACTCGAGATCATGTGTTGGATAATTCTCCTCATGCGGTCTAAGTTGTCTAGATGCATATGCCACTGCTCTCTCATCTTACATTAGAACACAACCAAGACCCTTATGAGAGGCATCAGTATACACATCATAGGGCTTTTGAGGATCCGAAATCACCAATACTGGAGCTGTTGTTAACCTTTCTTTCAACTCAAGAAAAGCTGTCTCGCACTTATCATCCCAGATAAATGGCCTATCCTTCCTTGTGAGTCTAGTCAAAGGCATAGAAATCTGAGAGAAACTTTGATAAACGCCGGTAGTAACCTGCTAATCCCAGAAAACTACGGATCTCAGTTATCGATTTTGGTCTCTCCCATTGCATGACTGCTTCAACTTTATATGGATCAACTGCAATACCATTTGCCGACACGATATGTCCCAAGAACCTAACCTCTCTCATCCAAAACTCGCACTTACTGAGCTTGGCATATAGCTTATGATCTCGCAGAAACCTTAGGACAGTCCTCAAGTGTCTGGCATGCTGCTCCTCATCTTTAGAGTAGATCAGTATATCGTCAATAAAAACTACCACAAACTGATCCAAGAAAGGTCGAAAAATGCGGTTCATATAGTCCATGAAAAACCGCAGGCGCATTAGTCAGCCCGAATGGATAACCAAAAACTCATAATGACCATATCGAGTCCTGAAAGCAGTCTTTGCCACATCCTTCTCACTAACTCTTAGCTGATGGTACCCTGAACGTAAATCAATTTTAGAGAAAATCGTGGCACCAACCAACTGATCTAAGAGATCATCGATGCGAGGCAGTGGGTACTTGTTCTTCACCGTAACCTTATTCAACTGCCTGTAATCGATACACAATCTTAAACTACCATCCTTCTTCTTCACAAATAAGACAGGAGATCCCCAAGGAGAAACACTAGGTCTAATAAATCCCTTATCTAACAGCTCCTCAAGTTGCTTCTTCAACTCAGCTAACTCTGAAGGAGCCATTCTATAGGGAGCCTTTGAAATTGGCTGAGTCCCCGGTACCAGTCAATTGAGAATTCAACCTCACGTTCTGGAGGTAATCCTGATACATCCTCAGAAAACACCTCTGGGAACTCCCTAACAACCTCAATTTCATCCACTATACCTGTCTCAGACCCTTGGGTAGCGAGCACTACCACGTAAGCCTCACATCCTGCTCAATCAATCTTTCAACTTGTAAAGAAGAAAGAAAACAAGAATGACCAGGGTATTCTTTGATCACCTCCGGTACTTCTACCAAAGTCACTGTCTTAGTCACACAATCTAAGACAGCACCATAAGCTGTCAACCAATCCATACCAATAATTAAATCAATCCCTTGCATAGGTAATTTGATCATATTCACCCAAGTCGATCGCCCATTAAAAGTCATCTTAGTCCTAACACCACACTGGATCGACCAACTAAACCAGAAGTAGAGGAAACTTCTATATCATGGGGCAACTGGTCAACAGGCATAGCCATTCTATCTAAGCGCTCGGCAGAAATAAAAGAATGCGTCGCACCACAATCAAACAAAGCTTCTAAATCGAGGCCACAGATAGAAAACCATACCAGTGATTAGATTCGATGACTTCCTAGCCTCCTCCTGAGATACTGTATACACTCTACCAGGAATCACGTTCCTCCGGTCCGAGCTCTCATGTAAATCAGGGCAGTCACGGATCAAATGGCCTAACTTTCCACACTTGTAACAAGCAAAGCAGCGACCAAAATGAACCCTACCACATCTATTGCAAGGTGACCTCGCTGTGCTTAGAATTGGGGCTTGACTGGTCTGTGGAAGAACGTGCTGGAGCATTCCCAGAGAAACGAGAACCCCCAGATCTCATATTACCACCCCGATTACCTTGAAATCTTGAACCCCTATTTAAATTTCGATTACCAGAAGCAGAAGAAGACCCGATTCTAAAGGAGCCACTAGAAGAAGAACCAGAGCTAAAACCCATTCTCTTGGATACACCACCAGTAGGAGCTAACCCAAAGAAAATCGACCTCGTGTATCCCTACTCCGGCTACTCTCTGTGTCTCGGCCTCGACGAGCGGCAATCCTCAGACGATTGCACATCTCATCATATGTCGCCTCGCCTAACAAAGATAGCTGCTGGCGGTATTCTGGCCTCATCTTTTCTAATAACCTCTTTGCTTTCCACTTGCTATCATTAGAAGCCTTCAGATATGTTGAGAACTTAGACAGCTGATTGAATTTTCTTATAAAAGTCTCCTCGTCTAAGTCCCCCTGCTGAAATGCATGAAACTCTGCCTCTTTCTCATCTCTGAAAGCTGGCGGAAAGTGAAAATCATAAAATCTTTCTTTAAATTCATCCCAAGACATAGATCTTCCATCTGTGGGCTTAACAGAATCCCACCAATGCTTGGCTTCACCAACAAGCTGCATCGTAGCCAAGATAACCTTCTGCTCAGATGTACACCTCACAACAGTAAATAACTGCTCCATCCGATCCAACCACTCTTCAGCTTTCCCATCAAGCATACTACCATCATATGTAGTCGGATTAGAGCGAGAGAATTCCTTCCAAGGTTCAGATATGTCATCCTCTCGATTATTAACAACTGGTGCATGAGCTCCCATAGTACTAGAAGATCCCTGCCCAGCACTTAGGTCAACATGCTGATCTGGAACAGTATGACTTCTAAGATTTTGCTGTATATCCACCATAACTTCAAGCAGCCTAGCCATGACTGCATCTGTCCCCTGTGGTGGTGGTGGAGGTGGAGGCGGAGGTGGAGGCGGAGGAGGTAGAGGTGGTGGTCGTTCCTCATTCCTCGATCTACCCCTTCCCCTTCGAGCCATATTAGAACTGAAAGGTGTACGGCTACAAGCGTACGGACCTTTCTCCCCTCCTAAAGGAACAAGCCAGAGAGAAAAGAAAACATATTAGTCCAGGTTAGTGGTAGAAGGGAAAGAGCATAAAAGTAATGTATTTAAGGTGCCAAGTAGGAAAAAGGAATCATAAACCTAAAACTGATACCAAATGTAACACTTGCCTTGAGTGTTATCCAAAAATCACATAATTCAAACAAACTAAGTGTGGTTAAGGAGTTGATCCTCTAACCAACTTAAGAAATAAATCATTTAAAACCTTAAAAAATAATTATAGGTTCTACCTATAGCGCACGGAAGCAAGTTAGACGAAAATGGAATAAAAAGATGCTGTCATGACAGTAATTTATTGCTGTCATGACAGCCCTCCTGGGCCAACTTCCAGGAGGCGGTGTTCTGTTCGTCATTCGACCTCCGATTGAAGTGATTTTAAAGCTCACACGTCACATTCAAAGGGTACTATAAGTGTACCAAATTTCAAAAAGATCCAACGGTCGGATTAAAAATTAGACATGTTAAAAGATTGACTATTTTTGCTGTCATGACAGCTAAAAAGCTGTCATGACAGCACTTCCGGACCAACTTCCGGAGTGCACCATTTCATCATCTGACCTCCGATCGGAGTGATTCCAAAGCCCACATGTCACTTTTAAAGAATACTATTAGCATACTAAATTTTGAAAAGATCCAACGGACGGATTGAATTTTGTGCAGGTTACAAAATCAACACTGTAGCTGTCATGACAGCAATTTAATGCTGTCATGACAGCACCTCCAGACCAAATTCCGGAGTGCGTCGTTTCTCCGTCCGATATCCGATCGACGTGATTCCAAAGCCCACACGAAGCTTATAAAGGTTTTACTTGTGACCCAAATTTTAGAGAAATCCAACGGTCGGATTAAGATTTGGACACCCGGATGCAAAAGTGCAGCTTTTTGGTAAAAACCATTTTCAAAATTGTCCAAATCCCATCCTAATGGTCACAAACCTGTGGAAACACTTTGGACACGTCAAATAAGATTAAAACACTTGATAGAACATTCAAATGATGGAAAACCCCCATACATCAAAATTTGACCACCCGGGTGCCATTTCCTAAAATGGACCCTAAACCCCCAAATGCACAAATCATACAAGAGTGGTCACAAATCAATCCAAATACCATGTATTTATATAAATACATATGCTAAACATTTTCACTTGGCTCAGAGCTCCTTGTGGGGCCCACGCACCCCACTCTCTCTATCCAAGCTGTATGTTTTCCCATAGCACACCATTTGCAATGCACCACTTTGCATTTGCTTATAAAATCACATATATATCAAAATAAAGATCTGCTTGTAATAGAAACTTGGTCTACTAAGTAAATCCATCAAAACCACACACCATAACCAAGTTTCCTAGCCACAAGTCTGCAAACAGACAAAAATTCATACACAAGCACACAATCCACACATATTCACACACACACACATAATCATATCCTACTGGCACCCTAATCTTAAATACATTACAATATATTTGCTCAAAAGAAAGGGTTGCAGTTCTTTACAAATCACAAGCAAACCCCTAGCTTTGCTCTTTTCCCCGTCCACCACTGGATCCTTCGCCTGGACCTAGAATATTGAAAAGAAAGGGGTGAGACAACCACAGTCTCAGTAACAGTGAAATCTATATTGATTATTACAAAGTAAGCCATAATCAAATAAATGAATAATAAATTCAACATAGTATATAATTTAGCCATTTAAAATGCATGAATGCATGACCTAGGCCGGTATGGCCTTTCATGACCAACAGAATGCCCCCTGGCACTCTTTAACTCGCAGGTAAACCTTATACCTACTTGTACCTCCACAGGCACAAAACATAATCTAAGGCATGATCTAATCCACCGAACCGCCTATGCCCCTTCGACGTGAATCCTGAGCAGTCAAAGCTAACTCCCTCCCAGAGCCAGCCCGACTTACTCTCCATGTGAGGGCTACCTTGGCCTAGGCACTCAACCTCACACTTCATATGTCGGATTCCCTCCCCCACTGAGAGGTGTCGAACACTCAATACACTAACCACTTTAGTGCACTGAGCCCACAATACGTAAGACAACACTGAGTACTGACAGTGTGCCATAGAATATCAAAAATCCACACCTTCTCATTGGTGAACTCCCACCGAGATCATGCCTTTTACTCTTGTCTACCTTTCCTGAGTATTGACCATTCAACACTCTAAAGTAGTATAATATTTATAAATCTCATTTCCATAAAAACATTGTTATTAAACAATTAGAAAACATATTTGCACTATAATCAAAGTAGTACCCCCATAACCCCTTATAAAGCACATTTAATCTTTTAAAACATGTAATGCATGATAACTAGTAATATTTATTCAAAAATAGCTAAAACAAAGTAATAAGAAATATAAATTCCCCTGTTACCTCAACCCTTTGGTACTAAAAGGGTTCCCCTTGTACAAAATAGGGCTCGGCTTGTTCCTTACTTCTCAATAAGTTCCACCAACAATTTTTCTACAACATATAAGTGATCCACATCACTTATCATGACAAATAGTATTAATGAAGACTATAACTTATACCACACAACTTAGGTCAATGAGTCATAATCCACCCTAATGGTCCATATATTAAACCAACCATTCACATAGTATCACTTAACCACCAAAACCATTTATTAGCCATCACTAGGCTAATTTTCAATTTATATTTAATTTTTTATCAATTAAAAACCTTCACTTAGTGCCACCAACTTTCACCATTAGCCCTTATAATGAAAACCAAACCTTAATTTAAATCTTATTGGGCTCAAATAGCAAAATTATAACTAAATCAATAGGCTTAAACCATTGAGAGAGCAAAAACCCAATTTCTCAGGTTTATTTTGTGCCCAAAACACCTCTTTTCATCCAATTATCCACTCAAAATATTAGATCACTATATAGAAACTCAAAACATGCTCCCTAGGATCCAAAGAAACAAAAGCTTACAAGAATAAAGCCTTTGGGATCAAAATCCAAAAATTCCTCTTCAAAAATTGAAGAAAAATCAAGAGAAAGAGAAGAGGATTGAAGTAGGGAGTTTACCTATCGTGTAGCCGAGCTCGCAACGGTCGCAAAGACTCCTAGATCCAAGCCTAACTCCCTCCCTTTCTCTTCTCTTCTTCCTCTCTCTCTCTCCCCCGTTTGTGCGTTTGCTTCCTTTCTCATTTTCTCTGCGTTTCTGCATCAGTTTGCTCCTTAAAATGCTGGTCAAAAACTTTGGGGAAAATTACAAGAAAGGGCCCAACATTTTTTATTATTGCACAAAAGCCCGGGTCAACTTTGGTAATTTTTCCCATAGTTAAAAATCAAATAAAACCAAACTTTTGCTTAGTAAAATTCAAACTCTGGGCCTCTATTAAATTATTCTAAATTTTAATTTAATTATAGATATTTTATTTTATTTTTGTTTATTTTTTTTATAAATTTGAGTCTTAAAATTTTTAGGATGTTACAAGTTGCTATGTGTACCCATTCTCAAGGAAGAAGCTACGTGGGGAAATCGCACACTAATAGGCCTGTTAAGTTATCCACCCCTAGTGAGGATTTTAAGGTAAGCATGAATTAAACATTCGGCGGAATGGAATTTCTTTAAAAGGGCAAGATGTAATTAGCCTTAAAAAGAAATAAATCTATATATATATACTTATTAATTCACTATATGAATATATCTTAGTTATGTTGGGATAATTATAACAATATGACGTATGGGAGAATGGAAGTATGTATGCAAGCAACCTAAGGTTCCAGGTTTGAATCCCTGATGCAATAAAAGGGGATTTTATTTTGTTCAGCTTCTCTAAAATTATGAAATTACCCTTTCTAAATATGATAAAAGCTTCCTTCTCTTCTCGGCCATTCCAGAAAAATGGAGAGAGAGAGAGAGAGTATGAGAATATGACCGACTCAACTTTTTCTCTCCACCCTTGACCTTTCTCATTCTAGTGATCACCAACTCATCTCCCTTTTGTGTTCACGGTGGTGGCTGGTATGGTTGAAGCTTGTAGTTGCTCTAGTTTATTTTCCATGTGTTCCCTATCTTTATCGTCGTTCTCTATTCCATTCTGGCTGTCTTTATTGGGTTTGGTCACTGCTCAGCTTCTGTCGTCTATTCGGTTGCTGCTGGTGTGAGACTAAATCATTAAAGCTGGAAGTTCTACTCACGAGCCCTTCCTTTTCCTAGCTCAACCATAAGCGTTATGCTCTGCTTTACTGGTTTGTGCTCCCTGTTTTTACGTCTTCTCTATATGCTGTCTGTTTCTATTATTTGGGTGAGAAGTCATAAAGTATTGAGTGTTGGAAGGCTATTACTGTGAGCTCGTGTTAGTGCGGCTGAACCAGTCTTTCTTCCATTTATTGGGTGGTAGTGATAACGTTCAGCTTATATCTCCCCTATTCAGTGTAAGTTTTACCTTTCTCTTCCTTATATGTATGGTGCTGGTTGCTGGAAGTAAGGGAGCTTCAAGACTTGCTTTCTCTTGGTTAATATATGTGTGATATGATCATTGAAGTTGGAAAAATTTGGCTCCCCTGTTACTGTGGCGATATGTGCATGAGGAGGAGGAGTAGAATTTTAATTTAAATAGAAATTACAAGTGTAGAGGAGGAAGGAGATGATGTTGTAGCTTAGAGTTTTATTGAAAATAAGTGGTATTAATATGTAAGGGTAAGGGGTAGGATGTTGAAATCTAGAACCGAAAAAATTTATCTTAGTTTGATACTATGCCATAACTATTCAATAAAACTTGTAGTAGGAGAAGTAATGCGCCTAAAGTATTTGGTGCAAAAGACTAAGAGAGGATTGTGCCTCAAGAAAGAAAAATATTAATAATAATAGATTGGCAAGGGTTAAAACAAGTTGGAGTAGACTAGTGATATAAATGGTACTTAGACTAACTCTAAAGCATGAATATTTATTTTAAAATGATGTGGTTGACTTGGGATTGTGTTAAAAAAATTCATTTATTTACATCCTGATAGGGTGTAAGGAAGAACGGGACCCTCACTAGAATTAAGGAAGGATACTTTTGAGAATTTGAAGCTCTAACAATTAAGTGAATAGCATTCCATTTAATTTAATTTTATATAACTTTTTCTAAAATATTTTATTCTTATGAATTACATTAATTTTGAAATTTATGAAATATCCATGAAGGACAAACGAGTTATGATACGTGCATTTATTATTTTCAAAAGTTCTATTTCAAGATTGATAAAGTATTTTTGTATGGTTGTTAAGCTTTGGAATGTACTGGCTATTCAATTACTGCAAGTTTGGTATATTAGTTATAAAGTATGATTTTTGCAAATTTTGAGAATTGAAATAATTCATGTGAGTTTGGCATTAAGAATGGTAATTTACTACGCAGAAATTATTCTTCTTGCATGTTTAAAATATGATATTTAAGAGGATTTTATTAGGTGCATGTCTTCTTTTTTTTTAATTAATCCTATTTAAGGTATAGTTAACTACTAAATATGATACCAATTCTAATGTGAATAGAGTTCCTGTTCTAATGTGAATGAAGTGGTGATAATGGTTGAGCTTACTAGGTTACCTATTTAAACTCATTTTTTATGGCTCAAGCTTTAAAAATTGAATTGAAACGTTATAAATGGCTTTTAAACCTCAACCCATTTAAACTTTATAAAAATAGATAGGCGCTCAAATTATTTGTTTAAGCCCATATTTAATTTTATCCCTAAAAGAAAAATAATTTTAAATTTTTAAATTAAATTTAGACTTTAAGATAGGTATTATACTTGAAATTATTAACATTTATATTATTTATTTTTCATCTTTGAACTTGTAATTTACATTTTAGAAAATGAATATATAATATTAGAATATAAAAATTAAAAATTTAAAAAGTGAAAATAAATTTAAAAAAAATGAGTTTATGGGTCTAGCTCTGGCTTGCTCAATAAAGGTCTAGTATAAAGAAATAACTAATTTTAAAATAACACGACTAGCTCATATAAGTCAGGTTCTTCTGTTTACAAGCTCTAAGTAAGGATTTAAATTTTAATTCATCATATAAAAAACAATTAGCCCTTTACTTTACATTAAGGGAAAATTTTCACTCAGACCCTCTGACCATACTTAATAAAAAAGAAGACCCAAAAATTACTTAATAAAAAAGAAACCCAATAACCTGTTTTATTGAGTTCTAAAAATTTTAAATGTTGATTAATATGTATTTTCAAAATTTACATGATTTTGGCTAGAAATTTTACCACTTTGAGTTATATGTGAGTAAATTATTTTCTTTAAGCATGATAACGTAAATGTTTTCAATTTGCTCTTATTTTACAATTATGGTTATGATTAACAGGCTATAAATTTGTTCTGTGGTATTATTTTAATTAGTTGACACCATTATTAGAGTTTGTTGATTTAAATTTTAAGAATTTTACCATGGAAAGGCTATTCACTGGAAAAAAATTATTTTGACCTCAGATTTGTTAGCTGATGCTAATCCCACCATCGACCTCTAAAGGGCAAAAATAGCTACAGTGGGTGGAAACTTTTAATTGGTACTATTACTTTTAATGTAAATATATAATTCATATGTCTTTTTAATTTAAAAGAAAGATTAGATGCTCTAAATAGGTTGTTGATATACCTTATTTTTAGTTTATATATTGGTTGCTGGCTGGAAGGAGCTACACTCCTGATTTATACTCTGTAAAAAATTTTTGTTGTAGAATTTTTGGGAGATCCTATTTATAGGGGAGGTTCTGCCAAATTTCTACAGAAACGTTGAATCCTTCTTATGATAAGTAATATAAAAGTGGTATAAATTCTATATATTCTGATTATTAAAAAAATTAAAATGAATTGAAATTTTCATGTTAAGTTTACAGGAATGCGTGATGTGGTTTGCGCCCGTGCCGGTCACCTTCTATTTTTGGGGCGAGACAAGAAGTTTGGAAAGAAAGAAAAAGAGATAAGAGACCAAAAAGCTTGACACATTAAAATTGACTGTCCTCTGAAATAAGAGCAAAAGCTACAAATATGACAAGAAAGTTCAAAGTTCAAAGCTTATCTCTCTTCAACCTGGGGTGATAGCAATGAAGAGTCCACAGAAGAAGAAGAAGCAAATCTCTGTCTAATGGTCAAAAGCCATTCTATTGACTCTGGATTCAAAGGTAAGTGATTCAAACTTAGACTCTAATTTGATTATATGTTTAAAGAATTAAAAATTACTTTTGAAGAATTGCATATTGAATCTTTTCTTTCTCATGAAAAATCTTTCCCAAGTCAAGAAGAAGCTTGCTATTTTTGAAAAGGAAAATATGTCTCTCAAAACTAAGAATGATGCTTTGAAAAAAAAATATTTCTATTTCTAAAAAAGAACTTTGTGTACTGATTGTCCTCTTCATATTTTAAAAAAGGAAAGATTTGAAAAAAACTCTTGCAAAATTTGTTAAGGGTAGAGATAACTTAAACAAAATTTGGGTCAATAAAGAAGTGTATTTGATAAAGCTGGCATGGCTATAAACCTAATAAGAAGAAAAAATATTACAAGAACTTCTTTGTTCTTGCTACTATGACTAACTCACCCAAATCCACTTGCTCCTACTGCAACAAGAAAGGGCACATGACTAAGTCATGTATCCATAGGAAATAAAGGGTTGAGTAAAAATATGAAGTGGGTTCTAAAGGGGTCTACTAACCTACTAGGACCCAAATAGATTAGGGTATATAAGAAAACATGACATTTGTGTAGGTATCAAGGAGAGTCACACATGAAAAATGAAATCTAGACCATACTACTCCAGGCATATGATTGGTGATAGCTCCATGTTCCTATATATGGTTGAAACCAAAGATGGTGGAACTATCACCTTTGGAAATAATGAAAAGGGAAGAATTCTTAGTATAGGTAAGGTTGGTAAGAATTCATCTAACTCTCCATGTATTGATCATGTTTATTTGGTTAATGGCTTAGGACATACCTCTTGAGCATAAGTCAATTATTTGACAAGGGTTATGAGGTTATTTTTAATGCTGTGCATTGCATTGTTAGAGATGAACAAATAGGAAAACCATCCTAGAAGGAA